TAGCTTATATTAATAAAATCTAAAGCAAAAAAAATCACATATAACTCTCATTAACAATCACTTGTACCAACTTTTTACCAAAAGCAAGTAGAAGACTCAAGACCAGAAGTTAATAACAACTTGAAGTTTACTTAATATAAACTGTTATTGATGAAGTTTTAAACATAATATACTAAAGAGCAGTGTTGTCACTCAGACAACTTGGATAGTACTCGAACAGAGTTTGTCAAAGTTTGATACTAAATAACTTTAAATAATATATTGTAACTCACTTTTAGTTATTAATTAAAGTTGTTCAAAATTATTTTTTGCATATATATATATATTTTTAGAGTAAATTTATAAGTCTGATAAAAAGTCAAATAGTCTGCTAAATACTTCAAAAGGCTTGAACATCAAAAATATACAATACTATCAAGAAGCAGGTGTTTTGAATAGTTTGCAAAGAGGTCAAGCCTCTTCTTTTCTTAGGTAGACTCCCTTTTGTATTTAGCATCCAAACCAGAAAAGTCTCTAAGAATAGTAAATAGAAGGTAAACTTAAGTTTATTTGAAGACAGAAGGCTATAAAGAACTCTTGGAAGAATACTCTCTGGTTAAAAACTCACAAAACTATGACTACCCTTTTGCTATTTTTTTTTTCATAATTTTTAACAAAAAGTGAAGATTTGGCTTATCCTTTTTAAAAGATCAGCATTGTTTACTATTTCTATTTTTAGAAAATCACAAGTTTTGATATGATGATTAAAGAACAAAACAAATCACATATAAGGAGGAAGTTTTAATAGATCTCTGAATTAAAAAGAAATAAATAGCATGTATCTTGTTTGGATAAGGCATAGCTATTAGGTAGCCTCTATTTGGGATATATCAAGAAAGTAGCTTCTGAAAATAGTAATCGAAAGAATCAATTCTGTTAACCTGGAATATAGAAAAGTATATTTGAAGTAAAGAACTGTAAGTGACAGAACCATTCATAATTAGAGTCAGTTTAAAAGTAAAGGTGACTTTAGAATCAATGATCATGTAATTGAGGCTTTAAAATCAGACATTTTAGGATTTGAATTAGATTTAATAGAAAGTTGTAAACTAGAGCAATAATGTAGAAATATGCTTATTCCGAAGTCATATACATATAATTTTTAGTTTTTGGTATAGGTTAAAGTATATTTTAGTTCATAGTTTCTTTTTTGTCAGATAGCTTTATATATAGATTTCTATGATTATGTAGATAGTTTTTTTCTGATTAGCAGGTTTTATATCTGAAAATAGGTTCTTATAGATTTTAGAATAGTATTTAGACTTCTTTATAATTTACTTATTTTTTTTGTATGTTTGTTTATAATTTATCCTCTTTTTTGTATTTTCTACTATACATGCTATAGAAACTTATTACAGCTCTGCTAAAAATATTTTAATATCAATTTTTTGATAAAAACAGAGCTGCAAGCCATAATTTATACCATAACACAAAGCCAAAACCTAAATTTATAATTAATGCTATAATCTAAATTAAAAGCCAAATTTAAATACTTAGAAGCTATATATAGTAAAAACTAATTGTGGCTTGCCAAAAATATTTTGTTGCTAATTTTTAGTAGAAATAAAGCTATAATAACTTAAAACTAAAACAAAAATTTATATAAATGCTATAATTTAAATTAAAAGCTGCAATTTAATATTATGAATTTTGTAATTGTTAGCTAAAATTCTATAGCTATATATATATATAAACATATATACTTTTAACAAATTAAATACTATTTTATAACAACTATATTATTTATATATTTATGAATAAATGCTCAAATATCAAAGCTATCTACTAAAGCATTAATGTCAAATTCTCTATTGCTATGGTTCTCTTCAATATTGTCTTTAATAACTTCCAAAATAACAATACTATCAAGTACTATAGATTGTACTATAAAATTAGACAAATCTAAATTCATTGTATTACCAATTATTAATGATTTACTCTTAATTGAAATATTGTTATATTCGTTTTTTTCTAATATATAAAACTCTTTGATTTCATTTGCTATAGCAATATCATTCTTATTGTTTTTATCTTTTAATTCTATTGATACTGTTACATCTAATATTTTTTGGCATAATTCATCTAATTTAATAGTTGCTGCTATATATTTAAGTTCGGTATTAGCATTTGAAATATAATAGGCATATATTTTTGCTATATCTTCAAGTTTTGCAAGGTTTAACCAATTTCTACATAATAAATTATAGTAATAGTAAATTGATTACTAATTATCTTGTAAAATAGAAATTATATAATAAGATTTTTATATTAGAAATATCTGTAAATATTTAAAAAATTCTCTCACATTCAGCATTATATGATATTATAGCAAGAACTTTTAATACTAAATATGCTAAATAATTAGAACTATCATTGCAACTTTGCCACCAATTAATTAATATATCATTTTGATTATCCCAAAAATAATTATATAGTATTATAAATTCACAATAATTATTCATTTGTGTGAGTAAAATTTCTGATAATTTTTTTCTCTATCTATAATTTTTAAATTTTGATTGTGCTTTAGCTATTATTTGAAATCTACTAATTTGTAATTTAGCATCTAAAATAATATATCAATATATAAAAAAATAAAGTTTAAGTTGAATAAAGAATACAATTTAATTTATTATAATTAATACTGATATTTGGGATAAAAAAAATAACCTAATTTAGGGTGTAGCAACTTAGTGAAGTGGTTAAGTTGTCATACCTACAAGCAGAGAGTTGGAAAGATAGGAGGTTCGAAACCCACTAGTAATAAATTTTGAAAATTCTACTTGTACAATACTACTATCTTCTATCGATCGGTTGGAACGGGATCTCTGTAACCTTGGTGGCTCCAACAAGATTGGGAGATTATGAAGCATTTGTGCAATATATAAGTGATATGAAAAAAGTTTCTGATCGTAGTAAACCCGCACATTTATCAAGACCTGAGTAGAAAGGTAGCACAGACCTTTGATGGTACTATATAAAGAATTATAGTTAGAAAAGTGGATTAACTAAATGGAACTGAAGTGTTTGGCAAGATACTCTACCAACCAGACTGCCGGAGAGTAACCAGAGAAAAAAGACCCAATCATGGGGACCAGAAGCAGGTCATAGCCCTTTTGGGCTATCTGAATTGGTAGTTTAGAAAATTCAAGAAGTATAGTATAGTCTATAAAGTAGATACTGAGGTTTGGGTAAACTCTACAAGAGCAGAAGTAGATAATAGTAGCAGCTTTGGCTTGCAAGTACTTGTCCTTGGACTCAGTGTAAATTATTGAAGTTTAGGTCAGCCAGATTGCGAGTACAGAAAGCTCTAGCAGGCTTATCTCGAGGACAAAGAGCTTTCAAGAATGGTAGCCTGTCTTAAAGTCCTAAGCTGGGTATCTAAAAATAAGGGATCTAAACTAGATTCTTGCTTAGTTAAACAGGTTAACTTTATAGATGCAGAGAGTTTAAATAGATAACTTTCTAGTCATATTGCAGATATGATATCTAGTGTAGAACTTAGTAATAAGCGGACTACTTAAATAGACAATCAAAAGTTGTATGTGTAGCTAGTATATACTTTCCAAATATGTATATAGTATAGACCATTCTGAAAGAGTAGCTTATTGTACAGTAAAATTAACCAATAACTAAATAAAAAAAGACGGCCAAGAGGTCACCTTAATATTGAAAAAAAAAAAACCTAATTTAAAAATCTTAAAGTCAAATTCATCCCATTGACAATTATAAATTTGAATACAAATTTTTTGAAATTCAAAATACTTAATTTCTACTGGAATATAATATATTGCAGAAGCTAATTAAACTAATTGAATATAAATATCTGCTAATATAGTTGATTTATATTCAACAACTTTTATAGCTTTTTTTGCAGAATATAAAATTTGAGCTAAACATTCAACGTTATTAAAAAATTTTTAAGATTTAATAATATCAGCAATATTCTTTGAAACTATATTTATATAATTTTGACAAATCTAAAAATATAAAATAGTTAATTTAATATTTTTTTAATATATGTAATTAAATTATTTACTATTATAAAACATAGTTGTAATCGTAAAATTGAAGTAAGACAATCCCAAAATATTAATTAACGTGTTTTAACTGAAGATTGAATTCTGCTACCAGAAATTAGATATTTCTATTGTAAATCTCAAAGTAATTCCCCAGCTTGATAAGATAATTTAGTCTACTTTACAATTAATTGATATTGTTTCATCAAATCATAAGCTCATTATTGCTTAAGTATATTTTTAATAATTAAATTTATATGATATGCAATACATTGAATAGGAATAATATATAGATAAGCATGATTAATAAAACTTTTAGCTAATTTTATATTCATAGTACCATCTGTTACAATTCCTTCAA